AGCAGCAGTAGTAGTAGCAGCAGCAGAAGTAGTAGCAGTAGTAGTAGCAGCAGCAGTAGTAGTAGTAGCAGCAGAAGAAGAGGACTTCGGGTTCGTGGCCATAGTAGAAGGGTCCCATGAGCGTCTTTCTGAAGGGAGAGCGGTTTAGAAAAAGGTTAGTAGGTCTCCATTAGCGTCGTGGGTGGCGTCTCCACCCCAAAATCTCATAGAAGAACACGCCGGACCACGGCGCTTCTTCGAGCTGCTTTTCTTGAAGAGCCCCCCCAAGAAGTTATTCAAAGGCTCCGCAGGCTTCACCATAAACCCTAGGCCTTAGGCCCAATAAACCGTATAAACCTTGAACCCGTATAAGCTCTAGACCCAACTTTGCCCAGGTCCCAATTTGCTCAAGCAGGGGTCCTCAACATTGGCCCGACCTGTGCACCCGAGAGCCCAACACGGGAAACTCCAATGTCAGCCTTCTTCGGGGACTCTTTTGGGGGTCAGATGTCGCTTGGAGGTTCATGGGTCGTTATAAATGGGGTGATAATAAGTACGGTAACTATGCTCATAACCCATATTAGGGGACTTACAACCCCACTTATAACTACCCATGAACCGCCAAGCGTGAGATGTCGATGGAAGCTTATAGAACCCTGATGGAACTCAGAGGACCCTTCCTCACAGAAGCTGGTAGCCTCGTTTGGCACCTCAGCGACCCTGGTAAGCCCTTATAGAAAACCCTGATAGATTCCCTAAAGGCCCATAAGCCCTGCCCTGGAGTCTGAGGTTTAGGATGGTTTCGGATTTAATATAGGCCTTAATAATTGGAACAGGGTTTGGGGTATATTATGTATATTATCATTATAAGAAGGAGCCCCCCCCAAAAAAAAACCGTATTCTAGTAAGGCCGCTACATTAGGCTTCGGCTAGGCTTCCCTTCCTAGGCCGTGGAGCGCTGCAGAGAGCGTCTGCAGGCGGCCGTCATGTGGCTTAGGGCACTGAGCATGAGGGGCTGTTTATGCCGGGTGCCTACAGGGCGCCGAAACCCAAAAACCCTACAGCTCAAAAGCCCTTAGTATTAGACCCATGGAGCCGAAAATGAAGACCCTAGAGCCTGAACGCCCCAAACACACTAAAGTCACTAAAGCCCTGAAGACCAGCGCAGCTTCCCGCATGGTGTGAAGGCCGCTCGTGACGATCGGGATCGTGCAGCACGGGCCTTGAAATTGCAAGAGGTTAGAGGTTCTGGGTTTACTTGGAGGTTCATGGGTAGTAATAAGTGGGGTTATAAGTCCCCTAAGGAGGGGTATAAGTATAGCTACCCTACTTATAACCCCAGGTATAACTACCCACCCTCCAAGTAGGGTTTAGGACTATCTGGGGCCCTTCATGGATCTTCCATGACCAGAAGAGGTTCTGGGTCTAGGCTTTGGGGTTCGAGCTTAGGGCTTGGCTCCATTAGTTGGTTGAAGAATGAATAGTGGTCCTCCCCTTGCAGAAATGGTCCGTTACGTTAGCTGGGTTCAAGCACGTTTTGATGGGCAGACACTTAAAACGTTTGAAACCCTAAACCCAAGCCGTCCCATTTATAGTTCCTGAGGCGCACCGCCATCTTATGGGTAGCAAGACCGTCTAGTTCCTCCGCGCCCCATAAGTGGTCCTATGTCTACAGGTGAAGCAGCGTGTCCTTAATTAGGGCATCTACTTATGACATTGGAGGTTTGGCAGTGGAAGCAGGACGATTCCGCCCTAGAGGGTCTTCTGTCTAGGGGCTGTATTTGAAGTTTTGCTTCCCGTGAGTTCTTCGGTTCCACCTTCGCCGACCTAAGACCTGCAGGGGAGGCCGATCTGCTGCACACTGGGCTCGTCGCCGGGATCGCCATGGATCCGCTCCAGCAAATCCACGGGGGCGGAGCGGATGAGGCCTGCATCCGCCTCTGGATGGTGCAGGACTACGGTACGGTTGCTTATATACCTGCACCGCTGCGGTGTGCTGTGCCATGACCTCAAGCCGGAGAATGTGCTGTCGCTGGGAGAAGATGTTCGAGTGGGCGACCCCGGTCGGATCACCGATGTACCAGGCGGCAGAGGTGGCCACGATGGGGATGGCATTCCGCAGCCAGCAACATCTTCGTTTTCGGATGCATCCTGTGGCAGCTCCTTGAGTTGCTTAGTTATCAAGCACTCGTTCCCTCCCTGTTCTTCACTGGGTCAATGAGCCTTTGGAGTCGCTACTGTGCTATCGCTGTCGTACTTGGATCCTCGGCTGGCTGTGCCTAGTTGTGAGTGCTGAAATCCTAGCCCATGACATCCTTGAAACCCTAGACGTTTTCTTCGGAACTGCGATGTAAGGTCATCCGGCGAAACGGACATACTTACACATACACACACACACACAGACACATGCACAGATACGCATGCTGGTTCATTGGCGGATGTCGATGCAAGCTGAGACATTTCGTTTGACGGTGACTGCTGTAGCGACTTCACTTCCGTCCAGCGGCTTTTTGGGAAACGCTTGACATCCGAACAGAAATACATCCCCACCGTAGCAACGACCATTCTGATCATCGTCGCCAGCAGCATCAGCAAGACACAGTCGTCATGCCCTTCAGCCCTGATACAGCGGTCTGAATGATGAGGAAAAGTATCCCGCTTCAGTTAATAGTAGTACGGTAATACCGTGACCTTGAAAATCAAAACGTGTATGCCCTTGTGCGCATTTCGGCGGCGCCTGCATCAGCCATGGAGGCCCCACCCAGGGAGAGAGTGGGTCGGGCTGTCGGTGTGGCTGTAGACTGTAAGTCACTTCGAGTGTCGGGCTTTGCATCTTTGCACCTGAGTCAAGAGCAGGAGGGCTTCATGGGACGCCATGTTTACAACCCTAGAATCCTTAGAAGATCAGAAGTTTGGCCAATTCTCCTCAATTCCCACAGACAGCAACAAAGCCAGGTAAGAACAGCCTCGAACCCACAAGCCGAAAACTAAACCGCCCGCTGTCTTGCAAAAACCCTTGACATTCCGGATATAGAAGACAAAATACTTTGTGACATAATCCCCTTTACAGTGCATATACACCGCTGTGTACCCACCGAAAATGTGCCCCACAACATCATGCTACTTAAATAGATTAAATGCTCTATCGTGCGGAAAGCCTGGGCTTCAGGATGTCTCCGCGCTCATTCAAGAGGCCGCGTCTGGCTCGGGGGTGTTTGTAAGTGTACTTACAGGCTTGTTTTTAGAAGCGACACTACAAGGCTTCATATCCTGAACAATTACCAACTTCATTCCCTGAGGTTTCGTTTTCGTAATCATATACCAGAAAACCCCAAACCTTTTTTAGTTCTTATTTTTTATCAGGATGACGATAACTAATATCACTACTATCACTATCTTTACAATTCTTTTATTCTTACTATCATTACTATTACTACTATGACTATGATTATCTTCTTATTCTTATGGCTACTACGACGACCACTAGTCCTACTACTACTACTACTACTACTACTACTACTAGTAGTACTTTTTTTTTCTCCTGCTACTACTACTACTACTACTACAACTACTACTACTGCTGCTGCTGCTGCTACTACTACTACTACTACTGCTACTGCTACTATGCTACTACTACCACTATTGCAACAGCAACAACAACAACAACTACATCAACAACAACAACAACGACTACTACTGCTGCTACTACTACTACTACTACTACTACTAACACTACTAGTAGTAGTACTAGTAGTACTAGTACTAATAGTAGTACTAGTACTACTACCACCATTACGACGACGACGACTACTGCTACAGCTACTGTTATACTGCTGCAACTACTACTGTTACTGTTACTGTTGCTGCTACTGCTACTGTAACGACTGTGACTAGTTATATGATTTTTGTCTTACTCTTACCATTGCTACCGTTATTACAACTGTTTTTGCCAATAGTATTGTTCTTACTATTGTTAATACCAGTACAGTCAGTGCGATCATGATGACGACGGTTGAAATCATTGCAATTCTACTTTTCAAGCGTCTTGATTGTTATTTCGGATAACCATCTGAAAGGAGTCGACCCTGATGAACCAAAAGCAGTTTTTGGGGGTGCTGAAATCCAACGCCTCAGGCCCCGAACCCCGAAACCTTAAAAAGAGAACCTGAACCCCAAGCAATTCTGGGCTGGATGGCCAGCCCAGGCCTCTCACAACCCAAAGAAGCAAAATCGGGAGCATGGATGAACTTTGTGTAGGCCATTCCCTCCGCGGATGCCGCAGATCCTCCAGCTGAGCTCACAGCAGGGATCTAAGAAGGCTCACTTAAAACCTTAAAGTTAATGGTTTTAAGTTTTAACTCAGGTTCAAGAGGAGTCCTGACTTGAGTCGAGGGGTTCAGGGTTTGGTCAGTGAAGTTCGGGGTTGATAGGGGCCAGGGTTTTGGGATGTATTATACTATAATTCTTATAAGGAGCCCCCGCAAAACCCTATTCTAATTCTTAAGGCCCAAAACCCTAAACCCTAAACCCTAAACTACAATATGCATTGAGCCGTAGGATGGCTCGGGTCGCGGAGAAAAGCAGCGAATCAAGGAGCTAATGCTTCCGAGGGCCAAATGGGAGTTTCCCAAAATAAGGAGTACCTTATTTTGGGGTCCTTATAATAGGGATCCTATTATTTAGGGTACTATATTAGGGTCCCCTATTTTCGGAAACCCCCAAATGGGGGTTGCCGAAAATAGGGGACCCTAGTGTAGCACCTTAAAAAAGTAGGATCCTTATTATCAGGACACCAAAAGAAGGTACCCCTAGTTTTCGGAAACTCCTAAATTTGACATCGCAGCACCTCTGATGGGGTTTGGAGTTGAAGCTTATTGCATGGGGCTGGGTTTGCGGACCTGAAGAAACAGTATTGTAGATTCCTTGTGTGCATCATCCGCATGGGAGCAGTAGAAGAAGCCTCGCCTCGCAATTGGGACACCCCTCCTGAGGTCGAAACTACGCGAACGTGCAGGTATGAACCCTCGAAGTAGTTCCTTGTCCGCCGACCTACCGGCCGATTCGTGGAACAGCCCGAACAAGTGCACACAGGATTTCCTTTGCAGACCTACTCTTTCTGTCTTTCTTCCTGTTTCTCGCTCTTCTTCTTGTAGTTTGTTCGTAGTTTTCTCTCTCTCCCTCTCTCTCCCAGTCTATTAGGTATGTACATGGTTACGTATGTACACATGCATTTGTACAGATACACTGAGTGAGTCGTCATCTGGTCGCCTAAAGGTGGCATGGCGCACCATGACTCGATGGTTGCTATCGAGACTCATCCATCCAATCGCTTCCATCGTGCAAGCACTTCCACACTGGACTCCCAAGTCACCCCGAAACCAGGATAAACCATGTGGACTTGTTCGGTGGCTGCCATTCAGAGCACCCTTCACCCAAAGTTCTCTAGGCAAGTTAGCCATGTGCATTGCCTTGCGAACTTCAAGCGTTGTTTGAGTCTTCGTAGTGACCAACATGGACAGCCTGTGGTACAGACACTCAGAGCAGCATGGCTATTGCTGCGAATCTTGGAAAGCTAGCTCCTGTATCTAGGAGGCCTGTCGGTTCTCAGCGTAACAGATTGCTCTGTCGGGGCAGTCTAGCCCCAATAGTAGGTAGTGTGAGGGGTAGTCCTTCATAGCCCTGATATGCACGGATACAAGTACACTAGAATGCATCTTGAATTCGGTTCTGCATATCGCTGCTCTTGATTCCATGACTTTGCTGCCGAGGCTCCTGCAAAGATCCGGATCATCCTCCAGCGGATGAGCCTGGTCTGGTCAGATTGTGGTCTTATTCGTTAGATTACCTGGGGTCACCACAAGGCCGCAGCCCTAAGAATCCTACCCCCCCTTGTTCCCGTTCCCGAGTGTCTTAGCATGCGCTCACTCTACTGTAGGAGTGTGGCTTTTCTAGCTCGCAAGAGACCCAAAGCCGGGTACAGGGGCCCCATAGTGCCGGCATTTCTCTCAGTGCTCGCGACCGAAAGTACTGGTATAGGTCCCACACCTGCCTAAGCTTGCACTGTCACTGGAACATTGATCCTCTTCTTTAGTTTAGTTTGTCAAGGTTTAAAGTTTCAACAATGGTTTAGGTCTAATTGGCTGGTGTTTGCGAATCCACAGACAAAAGCGAGGCCTCGTACGCCGATCTTACGCAGTAAGAATGTGTCAGCTGCTTCTTTCCCGTGTAAGGCATTCGTTAAATTTGGGATGGCCTGTCACGAGTGTGACGGAACACCTGCCATGCAGACCTTCGGGACTGCCATGTGGGAGCCAAATCAGCAGCAACAGCTGTAGATGTCGTCGACCCGGTAGAAGCGGAAGGAGTATGATGAGCTAGCCACGACAGAAGCAATTCTTGTCGTGGCATTTAGCGTGCCTGTGCCAGTAGTACCGTCGAAGTTCTAGTAAGTGACATTCATATGTCGGCCGCGTGTTTATGTCATCATGCGCCGGGCCAGTCAAACTTCGTAGCTCCGAGAAGAACACGGCACGGTACCAGATAAGGCGAGCCTCTAACCCGGACCGTCCGGGCAAGAAGCAGGTGGGAAAAAGGGTAAGCAAGGCATGTCATCCCTGAACCCATAACGAACCACCCGCCATCTCGAAGCAGCACAACTCCGTTCCGCAAAGTCAGGAGTGGAGAGGAGTCAGAGGTTCACCTGCCGGCAGCAGCTTGGACCGAAAAGCGGACTTGGGCTTCCGGGCGGGCTGTTGAAGAGCATGTGTGAAAGGTGAGGTAGGTAGGTAGGTAGGTAGGTAGGTAGGTAGGTAGGTAGGTAGGTAGGTAGGTAGGGAGGGAGGGAGGTAGGTAGGTAGGTAGGTAGGTATGTATGTATGTATATGTACATGTGTATATATATATATATACACATGTACAGATATATATATATATATATATATATATGCTGTAC